TCCTCCCTTTCTGAGAGTTACTGAAGGAAGGTACATTCAGATGAGGCATTTGAGTTCTGTTAGAATTATGTTACGTCAGAGCATCACAATTTTAAGGCACTTAAAAATGGCTACAGTGGCAAGGCTGGTTTGACTGTCATATGTAAGGGGAATCAGCCCTGGGAGACAGGTGCTCTCCATGGGTAGTTGGCCACCACCCAGTGAACACATGAGTGAGTTAGTACATGGCTGAGAGTTTGGATGGCAATATTCCTGTTGGTGATGAGGCAGAGTTTCCATTCATCCTACACTTTGAGAGAGAGGTCCACCTGAGATGACACTTGGCCAACTGCTAGGGGAAATGTTTGTACTCAATTCCTCCTTTAGAGTCTGAGCTGACTCCTATCACACCCTTCTATACAGGTCACGCAAGGCCTTCTCTCTCTGCATGAAAGCTAAGACTATTTAGCCCAGGGCTCAAAACACTATGGTCCTTTGCACTAGCTGTTTGGGGACATGTTATAATAGGCCTGGGACAATAATCCTAAGAAACTGTTGTCTGACAAAGTTCCCCAATTAGAAATGGATAGAATCTCAATCACCTAACTACATGTTAAAGAAAAATCCTGCTTGAATGCCTTATGTGTTTCAGGTCTCAGTTACCTGGCAGACCTCACTGGGAAGTCATAGTCAGGCACTGACCTGATGTGCTTCTGACAGCAGTTCCTGGGGTGTTCAGGGCATAAATCCAGGTTTCTCTCACTGCTGGCTGCACCTCTGCTCTCTGGCCTTAATTTGATCTTATTGTCTATTTTATTTTAGTGTCCCTGTTGTCATCAGGCAGTGGGTCCTGCTGAGGGACCGGCCACGAGGCTGACCACAGCTCCCAGCATGTATCTCCTTGTGTAGTTGGGCTGATGGACATGTTTCCTGTCCTCTGTAGACATAGTCACATCGGATCAGTCAAAGATGGTGACAGTTATAACCTAAAATGTACATCCCCCTCCACAGCCTCTAGAGAACATCATCCTCTCTTTTCAAAAGTGGCTCAGTTTGAAGACTATATTGCAGAAGCATATTTGTCTCCTAAATGGTTACTCATGCAAATTTCTTAAATGTTCTAAGGCATTACCCTCAAAGGTAAAAGGAATGTTAATAAAAATGAACATCGATTGCATGCTTATTCTGTGCCAATTTCTGTGCTAAGCACTTCCCAAGGATTGTGAGTGACTTCTCTGAAAAACCTTGAAGGCAGTTGTCCAGTCACTTGGCTGGTTGAGTGTCAGACTCAGCCTGGGCGGTCTGACTCCAGAGCCCATGGCTCTGACCACCACACCTGCTGCCCAGTAGTGCTTACCTCAGAGGGGTTGCTCTAGGGATAGGATGAGGTGACGTCTAGAAAGTGCTCAGCAGGCCTGGCCAGAACAGTCATTCAGCCTTGAGAGCTGCAACTGTATGGTAGGAGCTCAGTCACCTTGGAGCACTCTGAAGGACGTGAAGGGGAGGGGTTCTGGGTGGGTGGCATCATCAGTTGAAGGCCCATGGTGCTCTGATGTATGGGTGTAGGGGTGTGGCAGGGTCCTCGGGCATGCCAGCATGGTGCTGAAGCGCAAACCCTGTGCTTATGTGCAGGTGACCCATCCCAAACTCTCCTCAGCCTTTCTAAGCATCAGTGTTTGCCTGCCTTCCTTTTTCAAAATGTAATCAGAGATCCCCCACCCATATACCATGGCTAAGTGTTGGCTTAACCAACACTTAGTTGGCATACTCTTTTACTCTTGGTTTAAAGTTTTTGTTTGTTGCTTGTTCTTATTTAATACACCTGTACTAGTCTATTTCCTTTTGAAAGTAGATAAATGATAAGAAATGTTGTTACGTGGTTGGGATCGGAGTTGGGGGCACAACTACAGTGGTGACACTGACATGCGTGTTTCAGTGGAGGCAGCCAGGCCTCTCCTCCTAGGCACACGCTGAGCAAGCACTGGCAGTATTTAGGGTGCTGTGGCTATCACAGTTGTCTTCTTCTCTGGCCATGTTTTGCTGTTCAGCTATAACCTCCAATACTCTCTTGTTCCTCCTTAGGCTCTCTCAGAGGCTACTTGGATATTTCCCACATTAAAAGTGGGCAGTTTATGCTACATTTGATCTTAGCCAAAAGGCCAAGAAGTGATGAAAGTAAGCACTTTATTAATGTTAAGCCAAACTTGCAGCATGTAGTGAATGGGAATAAGTGCTGTGCTTTGGAAGTTGAGTCATGGGGACTCCGTGCTGTGGCCATCAGAGCAAAGCAGAAGGGCCAGGTCATATTCCTGGATGGCCTGAGCCTCAGTTATCTCAGCATTGTGTCTGCAATGGACTGGGGGCTCTGGGTGGCAGCAACTGTCTTTTCCTGGCATGGGTCACATGTGTTGGGAACAGCAGTATTGCTGTGGGTTGTGTCTCTTCGATTCATTGCCATTTCCTCAGACTCCAAGGTAGTCTGAAGTTTAAATGGATTCTAACTTCTCTTGAAGTCTCTAATGAATACAGACTATTTTTACATTTGATCACCAGTTTTTAGATATTAACCAGAAACATAATAGACTCCCTTTTTATATGAGAAATAGATTCAGTGTTAGAGAGATTACTACCACAAAGCAAGGTGGATCTCGGCTGCTTTTCTTCTGGAGATGATGACCAGAGGGATGATCTCACTACAGACATGACAAAGCTGGGTCCAGAGGGGCGATTCGCCTGGGATCAAGGGATGTGAGGGACAAAGTGAGATTTGACCAGAAACACATTCGTGTGTCTAGACATTTAGCACATGTTTTAAATGAACAAAACTGAACTGAACTCTCTACCTTAGAAGAGGCCCTGAGACACTGTTTTTACTGTTGTAGTTACTTTCAGCAATGCCTGCTTCATGTGCTGACCTAGTCGCATGGCTGGTTTGCAGCCAAGCCAAGTTCCCTTGCTTTGGGGTGTTTTAGTTTCCTGCTCTGGTTGACAGTGGCCTTCAGATCTGTGTACATGATTGCCCAAATAAAGATGAAATTTCTCAGTTACCCCTGACGTGACTTCCATGTAACAAAGGGGTTGTTAATGATGATTGTGTGTGTTCTCCCTTTCTATCCACTGACAGGACCACCCACGCTTAGAAAACCCAGTGCTCAAAGAGCAGCCTGTGATATTCAACCAAATTGCAGTTGGCAGTTTACCCCCAAAGAGGGAGTAAGGGGTGGAGATGAGAAATGGCCCTGCTCCCTTGGCATTTTTCATCAGAAAGGCATGTGAAAATAGGCCACCTTCTTGGGGAAGGTGCCCAGACCAACCCACAAACTGGTATCATGCTGTGTGTCTTCACTGTGCTAGTCCCCAGAGACTCAAGGACAAAAAAAACACAGTCCCCTTCCTAGGCTCTTCCCAAACAACGCTCTAATAAATCACCACGGTGTCTCTTGTCTTTGAAGCCTGATGTACGAGTTCCTAGAATCAAGGAAAATGAATGACAAGTCAGATGGCCATAGCAGTTGGGAACATAGCTCTACAGTCTTTGTTGATGTCGTGTTTGTTTACTTGAGGTTTAAATAATCAGTGAGTGAGACTTCTTGCTGCTGGTAGAATCGCCATAACCCATGAGGAAACAGACATGGCATCCTAATGGTTATGGCTTCAGTGATATGTCAAAGTTGTTTAGCAATTCCTCAGTACAGGAGTTTTCCTACTTTATAAAATAGGTCCACGTCCAGGAAGTTAAGTGACTTCCCCCAAGCACAAAAAATCTGGGTTGGGCAGAACTCTGCCCATGTCCCAACCTGGGAAGTTTTTATCCCGCTTTCACCCCCAAAACCACTGACATGATTAATTAAAATAGAGAAATACAATGATGATAGGGTTATAGTTGGCTTTTAAAGGAATCAAGCGCAGTTGAGGGGACAGTCTTTGGAAGGCAACTTCAAGGAGGAGAGTAAGGCCTTTCGAGCACATGGGCTCAAGGGCCTACCGACTGATTGATCTCTGATGCCCCAGGGTTCTTCCGAAAAGTCTCTCCCCACTGCCAACAGAATAGCTCTACAGTCATTTTTGTTATAAAGTGTCCCTAAGTGAGACTTCTTTCAAAATGACTTCATCTGAAAACTATATTCCATAAAGAAACAATTCAGCAATGCTGATAAGAAAATCATTTTATCATCATCAGAAATCACAGGACCCTGGTCTGTGTGGCTCAGTTGGTTGGAGCATCGTCCTGTAACTGAAAGGTTGTGGGTTTGATCCTCGGTCAGGGCACATACCTAGGTTGCGGGTCAATCCCTGGTCCTGGCAAGGGTGTGACCCTCCCGTCCAGGCACATATGGGAGGCAACCAATCAATGCTTCTCTCTCACATAGATGTTTGCCTCTCTCCTTCCCCCTCTCTCTTCCTCTGTGTCTAAACGCAATGAAGAAATGTCCTCATATGAGCATTAAAAAATCAGTGTTTTAAAGTATTTGGGGTTTTTTTGTTGTTTTTCTTTTTTTATGGACCCAAAGGTAGCTCTGTCATACACATCTGAGGGATGCAGAGGGCACTTGGGAGTTGCCCTCAGAGTCTTTCTGAAAGGTTCTCTCCTATTTGGTCTTCCTTATCCAGCAGAGTCTTTGGGCAGAGCTCTGACTTGTGGAGACCTAAGCAGCTGTAGCTCACACTTACAGCTCTTGGCAGAGGTCTGCTTGCCCTTTGATTCTGTTTACTAGGAATGGAAATGGAGACATAGCACAGCACCTGCCACATGGAAAACACTGAACAAGTAATTGTGGGATTAAATTTCACAAGGAAAAGCAGCCCATCTTATCCTATGACTAATTATGAGGGTGAATTTTCATGATGTGGCAGTTTGTCACTCCTAAGTGCATCACAGAAAAAGGGCTTAAAATGAATACTTTTTAAAATTAGTTAAGTCAAATAGACTTATTATGGAAACACTGTTCTAATCCAGATACTTTGTTGGTAAATTATTTTGAATTTGCTAACTATCTGTATTTCTTTGTTCCTTCTTCCAGAATGCTAGAAGATGACCTTAAGCTAAGTAGTGATGAAGAGGAGAATGAACAGGTAAGGTTATCTTTTACATTGTGCTGTTTGAATGCGGCATGATGATGCTGCCCTGAGAGATCGACCTGGTGTCCCCTGAGTCATACAAATGCTGACTTATGTTCTATGATGCTGGGTGTCCTCTGCTAATTACAAGATGCAATGCCATTGGGCAAGTCTGTTAAAATATCTTGGCTCTAATTTCCCTTAAAATTGTAACTTTGTGCTTTTTATGGCACTGAAACCAACAACAGCTATTATAAGGAAGCTGACTGGGGTCAGGCTTGCTTCAGTGAAATAGAAACTCTTTTTGGAAAGCTAACCAGCCTTCTAGAGATCAAACATGTGATCTTAACATCATCAGCATGCAACAGGCAAGCTGTAAGCATTAAATATTGAGAAGTCTTATACAGATATTATTAACATTGAAAAGATGCAAGCATGGAGGTGAGCTAAAATGATGAACAAAAAATCATCATGTCAGAATAGCCTGTTTGTCTTAATGATAAATGTGCTTGAGATGTTCTCCTTTGGTGTTGATTTATCAGCTCAAGACACCAGTCAGGGGTTTGTAAATGTTCTTCTGATCAGTCCGTTAAAGTGAAAAAATATCCACTTAACATTCATCACTTTCACCTCCATACTTCAGGCAACGCTTGTACTTTAAAGCAAGTTTGAAACCGCTGAAGACAGATTTTCCTACATTTCTGTTTCCTTTTTCTTGTTACCAGTATTGTATTTTGTCAGGTTTGGATAAATGTGATAGGTCTAAAAACGATTCAGAGGTTTTTTCTAAGTCATTTTTACATGTGCTACAAGACACTTGTGCTATTCAGTTGCTCTTGAGAGAGTCGATTTTTTATAAGGTATTACAGAATGCAGCGCAGGTAATGCCCCTGTCTAGACATGTGAATGCAAATAATGCACAGAGAGTGCAGAGGTGAAAGAAAAGTCAAAGGAAACTTCCAGGAAGAGCACCTGAGGCGAATGTGCTGTGGGGTCACAGAGGGGTCTCTCTCCTTGTGAGAGGTGGGGAGGCAACCAAAGAAGAGACGGAGCCTGAGACAGAACTCGGTGAATCTTGAGACCGGATGGGCGAGTGGAGAAAACCTCAGGTGGAAGGATGTTAACCGCGTGAGGGAGACCACTCGAGCCTTGGAGGCCTAGAGACTGATGAATTTGTTTTAGGTGCACACACCAGGGTGGGCAGCTATGCATAACACAGCAGCTGTGCTAGAACCGGAGAATGACTTCACTCCTAATTTTGGTTCCTTGCCTCTGTGACTATAAGCAAATGATTTCATCTCTGTGAGTGTTTTCCCAAGAAGTCCAGATAGGTGTATTGTGGATTAAGTCATATCAAATGTGTAGATTGTGTAAACTTTGTGATAGAAGAGGGGTTTACAGCCCTGACCAGTGTGGCTAAGTTGGTTGGACATCATCCCACAAAGCGAAAGGTCACTGGTTCTATTTCCAGATAGGGCACACGCCGGGGTTACAGATTCAGTCCCCATCGGGGAGTGTACGAGAGGCAGCTGATCGATGTTTCTCCCTCCTCTCCCCTCTCTCTAAAAATAAAAAATAAATAAAATCTTCTAACAAAATATTACAGGAAAGGAATTAACAATTTCATTCAGCAAGACTTTTCTTAATTTGGAAAGAATTTCCTGAGTTATTTCCAGGAAATATTTCTACTGCAAACTCAGTTTCAAAAAACCAGCTATCGAAGATTCCTTGAAGGCAGCAAGAACTTTTTGTTACCTCCTCTTGCTTTATTAGTGACTTCTTTCTCATCTATAGCCGTTGATAACATTGTATTGTGAATATAAGGTCAAACCCTTTATTCTTGCATTTGGTCCCCATTCGTTTGCAGCTTCCTACCTTTTGCAATGAAAGCAGCTGACAGAATGAATGATTTTTATACAGTAATCTCCTGTCTTTTAATTAAGGCTTCACAGAGTGGTTTTTGTGTGGTAGTTTCAGTGATTGCTGTAACACTAATTATATTAAGTTATTGGGCTCTGGCCTGTAATTATACCCTGGCCTAATCACAAAATTGTAATTTCCATGCTTCTAAAAAAAAGTCTAATAATATGGTATTTTTTTTCTTTCTAATACCAAAATACAACTGTGCCCTGAAAGAATGGATGGAGCCTGTGCACACTTGTAACACACCATGCACATATGGCAATTCCCGGCATTTGGCCGATACTTAAACAACACGAATGATTTTTCAGATGTAATCAGTTTGTGTCTTAACTCAAAACCTTTCAAAAATATATTGTGCATTTCCCTGTCTACGTAAATATAGTAAAGTAAAATGCTTAACTTTTCCTTACACAATACCTAGTTGTCCTGAGACTATTGGTCACTAGCCTTCATAGCCACTGTGACAAAGAGACACCTACAGAGCATCCAGTTGCTGCATCTGCTTGCCCTTCCTAAACTATCCTCGGACACTAGTGTGTGTGAATACTCCTATCTAATGTTTCCTTTCTCCTTATTGTCTTTGTGCTCTCAAAGATAAAGAAAAGGTAGTTTAGTGGGTTAGAACAGGTTCAGCAGCCCTGCTCCCAGGGTTCAAATCCTCCCTTTACTACTCAGTAGTTTTACAACGTTGGTCCACCTCCTGAACTGCTCTCTGCTCTAGGATCACCATTTGTAAAACTGGAATTAATATGAGGTCCCCAAAGCCTGCCACTCCCTCGGAACTTGTGCTTACCTGTCATCTTCATGTCACCGGATCCAACAGCCTTCCATCCTTTTTTTGTTAACTTATAATTGAGCAAACCATACATGGAGAAAAGTACATCTAAACTGAGAATGCAATTTTGTGAACATTCAGAAGCCACACACAATTCAACTTTTTGGTGAGTGTGTTCAACTTGAGTAGATTATCCCAAACCATTTTCCAAAGTGGTTGTGCAGTTGACACTCCTACTGGCAATGTAAGAGTATTCTAGTCAATCCACGTCCTCACATTTGCCTCTTTCTGTTCATGAGAAATACCATTCTTATTTTTCAATTATAATATTTTTATTGATTATGCTATTACACTTTTCCCAATTTTCCCCCTGTATCCACTCTCCACCCTGCCCCTGCAACCCTCCAGTGTTTCCCCCCTTAGTTCATGTCCATGGGTTGTACCTATAAGTTCTTTGAGTCCTCTGTTTCCTAAATAATTTGGACCTCTCCCCAGCTATTTTATGCCTACTAATTATGCTTCTTCTTCCCTGTACCTTTCCCCTCCATTCCTCCCTTCCCCCTCCCCACTGAAATCCCTCCATGTGATGTCCATTTCTCTGATTCTGTTCCTGTTGTAGTTGTTTGCTTAGTTTTTCTTGTCATCGTTTTTCTTTCTTTTTTTTTTTTAGGCTCATTTGTTGGTAGTTGTGAGTTTGTTGTCATTTTACTGTTCATCTTTTTTATCTTCTTTTTCTTGGATAAGTCCCTTTAATATTTCATATAATAATGGCTTGGTGATGATGAACTCCTTTAACTTGACCTTATCTGGGAAGCACTTTATCTGCCCTTCCATTCTAAGTGATAGCTTTGCTCAATAGAGTGTTCTTCAATGTAGGTCCTTGATTTTCATGACTTCTAATACTTCTTTGCAGCTCCTTCTTGCCTGCAAGGTTCCTTTTGAGAAATCAGCTGATAGTCTTACAGGAACTCCTTTGTAGGTAACTCTCTCCTTTCCTCTTGCTGCTTTTAAGATTCTCCCTTTATCTTTAGTCTTGGCTAACTTAATGATGATGTGCCTTGGTGTGTTGCTCCTTGGGCCCAACTTCTTTGGGACTCTCTGGGCTTCCTGGACTTCCTGGAAGTCTATTTCCTTCACCAGATTGGGGGAGTTTTTCGTCATTATTTGTTCAAATAAGTTTTCAATTTCTTGGTCTTGGTGTTCCTCTTCTCCTTCTGGCACCCCTATAATTTGGATATTGGGATGTTTCAGGTTGTCCCTGAGGTTCCTAAGTCTCTTCATTTTGGGGGATTTGTGTTTCTTCATTCTGTTCCAGTTAGATGTTTATTTTTTCCTTTTGTTCCAAATTGTTGCTTTTGATTCCTGGTTTCCTTCCTGTCACTGTTGGTCCCCTGGACATTCTGCTTTACTTCACTTTGGGTATCTTTCATTTGTTTTTTCATTTTCCAACCAAGCTCAATCATTTTTGTGAGCATTTTGATTACCAGGGCTTTCCATTCTCCATCAGATAGGTTGGCGATCTCCTCCTCACTTAGCTCTCTTTCTGAGGCTTTATTCTGTCCTTTCATTTGGGCCATATTTCTTTGTCTTGGCGCAGTTGATAGGTTGTGAGGGGGCAGGGCATTAGGTTTTCACTGGGGCAGGGAAACCGTCTTTGCTGCCCTGCAGCGAAAACCTGTTGGGGAAGGGCCAGAGAGGGAATAGCGTGGTGGCCTGCTGGTCTCTAGCGTACTTTTCAACGGACTCTTGTGTGAGACTGGGTGCTTTTCCTACCCCTGCAACTGCCGCAACTGCCACAACTACCATAGCCCACAGCCACCTCTGAGTCCCCTTAAGTCAGCCCCTCCCTCGCAGCCCACCAAGCTGAGCAGCCAGCCCCACCCGTAAGGTCTGCTGCACCCTCAAGGTTTTTTTTGAGTCTGCTGCATGATCCACTGCCTTAGCGGTCTGGTTGTTCTGGTTGATTTTTTCTTTAATTCCTTTGTTGTCAGAGTTCCATTCAATTTGATTTTCTGGTGTTTTAGGTTGTTTATTGATTTCAGGTTGGTTGTTATCCTCCTTTTGGTTGTGCAAAGAAGCAAAGGGTCTCTGCCTATGCCTCCATCTTGTCTGGAACTCAGGATATAAATATCATTCTTAAGGTTTCTTGTTTTGTATCATCTTTGTCTGGTTTTGATATAAGGCAGGCATGTCAAACTCATTTTCACCAGGGGCCACATCAGCTTTGCAGTTGCATTCAAAGGGCCAAAGTAATTTTAGGACTGTGTAAATGTAACTACTCTTTGACTGTTAAGGAATTGAAATTACATTCGGCCCT